TAATAATGTGTTCGTTTTAGCTACGGTGACGATTGGGAGAAATACTGATGAGTTGAATTCTCGGACACCGACGTGCATCTTATTTGTAAAATCACCCATATATCTTTCAAGCAAAAGTCTGCGCCGCGCTGTCGTTGTCCCGGCGACAGGTGGGGTGCGCGACTGACGTTTCGCAACGGACTGAAACTTTGGAAGCGGCGGCAGCTGCCGTGTGGCGCTGTGTATTGTAGTGCCATTCCCCACTTGCTGATTGGCTCGCGGGCACGCTCGCAGCCAAAGCAAACGCAAAGGCGTCTCCCTTGATTTAATTATGCTCTGCCAGTGTGGCCCCTTTTCTAGCGGAAGCCAGTTCGCACATATTGCAGGGGGAAGGAGAGAGAGAGAGAACGTCTAGTGGAGCTAGCAGCAATCGGCGAGCGCCCGGAGAAAGATCTGCTTATTCGCGAGATTCCAGCCCATCTTGCGAATAATTATCTGTCGTGATGTGCGTGCGCCTGCAGCGCCAAGGCGCGCGCGTCCGAGCGATAGACGAGGCGTTAATACGACTGTAATGCGCACAGGATCACCTCCTGGCACACTGCTGGAAAATAACGCCCTGACTCTCATTCTGCTGCTCTCGAAAAAAAGGAGGGGGAAGGAGAGATAAAGAAGAAAAGATGATGACTCAATTCCTGTCTCGTTACGCAGTTTTCAACTGGGTCAAAATGGTTGGCATTAGCAACGTAATAATAATGAGAGTATATGGTGCGAGAGCACCCGAGTGAGCACCCTCTGATAGGAAGCGCGCCTAACGGGCTGGAGGCGCAAAATAACGCTCACGCGCACACGCACACGTACGCGATCGTACACACTCACACACGCACACACACAAAGCGCGTACGCAGACGCGCGAGCCAGCAGGAGGAGAGGAAGGATCAGGAACTGAGGCCGGCCGGCATATACGTGATTCAGAGCCCGAGTAGTTGTGAAGTGGGCACCTTATGTGCGCGGACTACACAGCAGCGAGAGGGGTGCTAACTCTTGGTAAAACAAGGCGTATGCCATCGCTATTAATTTATTTTCCAATTTTAGTATTCAGATGTCTTGCCTGAAAAGAGCAAGATTTTCAGTTTAGTGAGATAGGTCTGATTTTAGAATATTCTAAAATCTCACTCATTTTAAGAAAGTTTAACATGTGGAATCTTCTCTGAAAACGGGTGAGCTTTCATACTCGTCACTCAAATAAATATTGTGAGAGTTATTAAACTATCGCTCTAAACGAATTTACAATAAAATCCTCCCTTCAGGATTTCTAGTGATTATAGTGACTTTTGCACCTCTATATCAACATGCTACAAATTTTATTTCCTTCGATACTGCTGCCTATACGAAATTCTCTCTCTCTCTCTCCCTCACTCTCCCTCCGCCTCTCTCTTCCAAAGGTACACAACTGGTGCTCCATTCGCGCTATGGAATGGATGGCTGCCTTGTTTTTCCTTTTTCTCTTTTTGTAGGGCAAGGCAAGAGGAGCATAAGTCACCCGCTGTTTACCGCGACAGGATTCCGCGGAAATCATGAAGCGTCCACATCCTGCCGCGATAAGGGAAAAGCTCTAATTAAGCGCGCGACGATAGCGAAGCGCGGTGTGCCGCGAGATAGCGTAAAAACGTGGAACTCTTTCATTCATTCATTCGTTCGCAGATCGCGAGCCCCACCCACCCATTCACTCGCTCTAGGCTGCACGCGCGGACCGTCGAGGGGGAGGGGCGAGGGCCCTGGGAGGGCACGCCACATTCATTCATCGTTTTGCTTCGCGTTATTATTTGCCGCGCCTAATCGTAGTCCAAGAACCCGCCGCGCCGCGTCAACTCGTTTCACCTGAAGGTGTGTGTATAGCGAGGCGGGGAAGGAGGGACGAGTGTTTTGCGGTTATCGATGAACAGTCGTAAAAAGTTTGGTTGCGATGAAACGCGCTGCTTGCTCCTTGGGAGCTGCTTTGCTACTCTACCCCCTCCCCCTCTCCTCCCTCCCAACCCCCGGTCGTACCCGTGCCACCTGGTCTTATAGGGAGACACAACTAGGAGCGAGCTTTTCTTATGGGAGCTCTTCTGAACTACTGCCTCCTCAGCTACCCCCGCAACACATGGGTCGGCTGGGTCCCGCCTATCCCTTTGCGTGGACCCTCGGAAGCAGGTAGCCGCAGCCACCACCGCAGCAACATCTCCTCAGAAAAGCTCGCTCCTGGCTGTGTCTCCCTATAACAAATATCCCCCCCCTCTCTCTCTCTCTCTCTCTCTCTCTCTCTCTCTCTCATTCTCTTTCCCTGTTTGACGTTAACGCCCGAAAACGCCGCGCGCCGCCATCAAATCTTATTGACTTGTGTTTCCTGCTTTCTGGATGGGAGCGCGCGCTCAGGCTCCGCTCGGGCTCGGCTGCGCATCCCGTCCCGGCCGGAGCTGCGCCTGCCGGCGATCGGCCGCGCCGTTAATCTCTCACCTCACGCCTACAGCGACAAATTGTGCGCGCCGACTTTGTGCCTACTTCTATCCTGCCGCGGCCCGCCTCTCCAAATCCCCAAAATTATGGAAAGAGCGGCGGTAGTGATGGTGCTGTGTGTGGTTGTGTGTGTGGTTGTGTGTGTGTGCGTGTGTGTTTCTGGTGGATCGAAGCGTATTGACATTGCGTTTATCTTCTTCGGGCCGGCGATGTGTTTGGCGTGCGCCCCAAACAAGGCCCGCGCCGACGCCATCAACGCCGCGCCACGCCACACCGCGAGGGGGAGGGACACGAGCCGGACAGCGATCACCGAAAGGACGACTGCATGCACCAAATTTGGACTCGACAACGAAATGGGCCACTCATCCCGCTGCAGAAGGTTGCTCTTCGTGCTTTAAATTTGGTGTACATGTTTGGAAAAAATCGATCGTGTTTTGTGTTTTTTTTTCTTTTGTTATTTCTGATGAAGAAAGAAGAAAAACGACGACGATGTTGCGGTCGTGATGGTGATTTGATTAGGCGTGCTGCTCTAATTCGTACCGTGTGATGCGGTAATTTCGCGAGGTAATGCGTGGTGCGCTGCCCCACATGCAGTTCGTGCGTGGGCGGGGCGGTGCGAAGCCGGGCAGGACCACCCGGTGAGTTTCGGCGTGTCGGACGCGTTTGACATGGAGGAGACAGTCGGTGAGCTGGGCCCCTCTCCGAGGCCCCCGCCGGGCCCCCGGGGGCCCCGCGCCCGGGCCCCGCGCGCAGCGTGCTGCGGGACGTGCGGTGCATCTTATTGAGACGCCAGCCATGGGGCTACCCCGCCACACATTACCCCAAAATTACACACGAAGTAACGCATTTATAAAATCAACCGACACACTCTCGTCTGCCGTCTTATTCGTCACATGTGGCTTTTGGATTATGACAAACTGAAAACCTATGAAACTATCGAGTTCGTGACATTTTTATGGCTGCATGATGCGCTCGTAATCCCCTGATTTATTCTTTGTCTCTTGACCATAGTGGTCAGAGGGGATAAATTTATCATCACCGTCCAAACAGCTGCACACTTTGGTTTACAAATTCCTATTTCAGATGAAGTATGCCTAACGAAATGCGTCCATATGTGTGCGCGCAAACTTTTTTCCGTCGCCGCAAATGTTGTCGATCCGCATCTCGCGGAACAAGCGTATCTCTGTGGCGGACACGCCGCCGCCAGTGCTTCCCCCTTCGGGTAGCGAAGTGGTGCGGTGGCACGGGGCGCAACCGGGGTGCGGTGGGGCGGGGCGGGCGTATGAGGGCGAGGCGATAGCCTCCCCGCCTATCGGTCACCTGCCGCGCGCCCCCGGCCGACACACACACACACACACACACATGGCAGGACGTTCATGGAACACCTTGGGCGACTCATCATAACGCGATCGAGTGGAAAGGAAACCGATACCACCGAGATGTGCCCCAAATACCACAGAAAACAAGGAAAAACAAAAACAAACAGTAACTATATAGAACAGGCGGCCGCCGCGCCGATCTGATGGTCAAATGCCCCCCGACTGTAAAGTCAGCCGAACACGCGTGTGCGACGCGCCACACGACTCTAGCTTTAAGGCTGTGAGGTCATCCCGCGCCGCGCTGAGAATCATTTTCGTGTTATTCGCCGCGGCGACCCGTAATTACGACATTGCATGGCGTGGCGTGGCCCGGCGTGGCGTCGCCGGCCGAACGCAGCTCTGTAACGGGTCGGACGGACGGTCCCCGGGACGACCGAGGGACGACGGTCGGCCAACGAGGAAATGCCTCTTTGCAGCAGGGCGGGCTGCTTGCAGCCGCTTGCAGCCGCTTGCAGCCGCTTGCAGCCCCGCGCGCTCAGCATCCTCGTTTGGACCCGCGAGGCGAATCGCGCCGCCCGTTTTCGCCCGCCTTTTGACACGCTCAAATAACTTGCGGGTCGTAAGAGTATGCGAGCGGGCCGCAGTAAGATCGAGCAGTTGGGCAGCAACACACGGCGTCCTGATTAGCGCAGTCCCGACGACGCAGTCGCAGTCTCGGCCGCCACGCCAACGCCAGCGGGTGACACGCGGAAGTCTCTTTTATTTTTGGCCCTCGCTGCTTTCCTTTTCCCGTGTGCATCTCACCCAGTTTTCCTCCCTTCTCCCCCCCCCCCCTCATCGTCTGCTCTGGCAGCTCTCCCTCTCTCTCTCTCTCTCTCCCTCCGCCCCTCTCCCCCCTCAAAAAGTTTGCAGACATTCTTTTCCCTCGTCAGAGCAAACAGGTCATAAGAAGCGCGAATAATGCGTTTTTCTGCCCGGGCTCAAGCTCCGCTCGGTCCCGGCCCCGCCCGCCGCACTGTGAGAAAAAACAACGGAAAATCAACGGACAACAGCGGCAATTATTTTCCGCTTACATCCGTACTGGGTACGGTTAAAGAACGGAGGGGTTTCTTCTACGGTTGAGGGAGAAGAAAGGTAAATGACTTGGATGATGACACGGTATGACACTACGGAAAGAATACATCTGAATAACGGTCAATCCGTAGCTCACTATCAGATTTATTCTTAAGAAGCAACTCTCTAGCCTCGTAAACACCTGATGATCACAAACGATGTAACTCAAACACTCCGTGGCCTCATGAAATGAAACGTACTTTTTAAATTTTACAACTTTGCTGATGATTTCTACTGACCATGTCAACAGAAAGAGATGCACTTATGATAAAGACTTACTTTTGATTCACTTCCTCAAGAATTTATTCTCAGAAAGACACACCATCAGCACATCAGGTTGACAGAGAATTAGGAGGTCCTCCGAATTGCGTTGAAGGTCTTGTTTTCGTGACACATAACATATCTCATAGTAACTTTTATGGGTGACAGAATATATGCTTCTTAACCCCATTCCATGGGGTAGCCAACTACTGCATCGGCGTAGATGCCCTCTGAAACAGTCCCAGGTGATTGACCAGGCTTCAGAACTGAAGGAAACATCCTCCAGTATCCTTCGAATAAACTGCGCAGCTCAACAAAGTCACACAGTACACACACCATTTAATTTTCTTTTAAGAAACTAGAGGTATTGACACATTATTCAACAGCTGAGGTCGCCATCTTGTCGTCGTTGTTTGTTTTTCAGCATCAGAGTTCTAAACAGTAGAAGGCGGTGTCTTTTGTTTTTCTCTATTTGCACAATTTGCAGGCATGTTCATGCTGAAAATAACTTGTTGTTGTTGTTAAGGTACAAAGTGGGGACATTTTAGTATAGTTAGCAGAAAAACGGTTCACAGAGGACAACCTTCAGTTTCGCTGCCCTGCTTGTTCTGCTTGTTAGTGAAGTGAAATCCTGCCGTCACACGGTTTATAATGTTTTGGCTCCGAAGTATTAGGATAACACCGGGGATCACTGAACACCTGGTGGACACAAGTTTCACACTCTCCCTCCACTTTCTAACTGTTCAATGATTCTGAAAATTCCTATCAATTATTCATAATAGAAGTTTGCCAACATGGCCGATTTTTTATTCTGTTGCCTCCTTTTGTCTTGTAAATATTCTCCAAGTCCTTCAACATTTTTGTTTTTGTCAGGTTAAGGACCTCCAACCTATCTCGCACCTTGCAGGATCATCCAGAGGTTAAAGGCAGCAGCAGCTCCAACAGACAACTAGGTGTTGGTAAGTAAACAGTGCAGAAAGAAAATTAAAGATGTTCTAGGGAGTGATATATATTCTACTTGTACGATTAGCACGAAACCAGTAAATATTTCAAACTTGAGGGGCAGTAAGAGATAGGCATACCTCCCCTGCACGCTTATTGTAAAGTTTATTCTCTTTACAGGTGCCATCTAGATTCCAGTTCAAAAATCTGTCGGGGCATCCATAGGGGCCGCTCCAAAGAGCCACATATTTATCAATTCCGGACCAGACATCCAGCCACCAACGCCAATATCAACACTATCAACAGCTTGATGAATCAGGTACAACTTGTTATTGTACTAAGTTTTCATTATTCTCTCACTGTATTGTACAAAGTATAACTATTACTATAGAAGACTACATTTGGTAGTAATTTTAAAACGTAGAATGTAAATTTAGCAGGATTCCTTATCACTTTCCCTTCCTTGAACTGCTCTCAATCATTGTGTATCTTATTTTGCAGATACCTGAAGATTGAACATAATCCCTAAACCGACGAATGACTGTAATCTTAAACACTGAGTGGTTTCCAAGAGATGAAAGGTCCGAACCAATCATATCCACTGATTGGTTTTAAATTGTTTATCATTAATATTATGTCAACAAAATCTAAAGTGCTCTCTACCTAACTTTTTTCTAAATTTAATGTTACAATGCAAGAACCTTTGCAAAAATTAAGTTGCTGTACAATTATTTCAACCATTTTCAATTGTACTATAGGTAGTTAAAATTGTCAGAAAGCCTCTTACATTTGTAAAGTTTTTTAAATGGTCTTTTCTGTGTGAAACAAGCATATAATCTTTTATTATGACAGATCATATGTCTCCAGTACTCATTAGGTATCTAAAATGAAGTTTGTATAATTTATTTTCAGACCAAAAGGCTAGTAATGATTTTGATTTACTTGTGTCTCTTCAGTGCTTGTTTTGTGGGTTTTAAGTGTGTTTACTGTGATAGAATAGTCATGTTATGTCAATGATAGGGTTAAATAGAACTATCTAGGTCTACTTTGTATTCAGATTCTTTGTTTTTAACTTGAAAATTGCACTTTGTAAGTTAACTCTGAACGCGTGAAGATCTGTTTGGAAGATCTGGACTTTTCATATCTATCTATTATTTCTGTTGTTGGTACTAGCTTGAGGAATGCCATGTCTGTCTCCCCTGATCTGCTGTGATGACAGGTCACACTGTATTTTGTAAAAAATACATGCATGTAGGCAAGAACTCCATCATAGCTCGCTTTAAGTAATTCTGTGTACGCAAATGAGAAAACTATTGATTTCTCAATGGGATGCTCCAATGGAACAACCTATACAAAAATGTAGTTGCTGTTGAAGGGTTTTGGTCTTTTTTCTTATGTTTTAAAATAATTTTGAGTCAGAATACCCTTTCTCTTAGTATATTTTTCTTTAAGTTCTGTTCTGTGTTAGACATGCACATAGTCTTTTATTATGACACATCATATGTCTCCAGTACTCATTAGGTATCTAAAATTAAGTTTGTATAATTTATTTTCAGACCGAAAGGCTAGTAATGATTTTGATTTACTTGTGTCTCTTCAGTGCTTGTTTTGTGGGTTTTAAGTGTGTTTACTGTGA